ACGCAGTTACCTGCGGGACAGGAGCTCCCTCCTGGTGAGGACCTTCACTCCTGGAGAGCAGACCACCTGCCCCCGGTGCAGCCCCACCACCCCTCCCCTTCTTCCCACCCCAGGGAGGACATAGCACCCCCTCCTCAGTCAGGTTCTGGTACCCCCCTGGTGTGGCAGGGGACCAGGCCCGCCGCCCCCACCGGGAGGGGCACCAGGAGGAGGTTGATGGGGTAGTTCCAGGGCGCGATGATGAGCACCACCCCGTAGGGGTCCTTGCGGATGAAGGCCGAGTCCAGCTGCGTCGCCTGCGGAGGGAAGGGCGGTGTGAGGGCCACCTGCCTCCCGTCCCACCCATCCCTGGCCATCTACAGCCACCTACCCAGCTCTTCTCCACGTGCTCATCCTTCGTCCAGGCACCCAGGTTGTTGAGCGTGTGGTTGAGCTCGCTCCTGCACATGGAGATCTCGGCGAGCTCCGCTTCAAAGGGCGGCTGGGGACACACAGGGGGTCATCGTGGGCACAGCCTCAGGGCCGCCCCGCCGTGGTTGTCCTCACAGGGGTCAGCACGCAGCCGTAGCAGGATGGGACTGTCTGTGCTGGGGCAGACACCCCTGGGGACACCGTGTGGCCTTGCAGTGGCAAGGATCGGTGGTGGTGCCACCCCCATCACGGCACACCACCGGGCCCCATGCCAACAGATTCATGGGACACGGTAGAAGGTCGTGGTTGAAGACATGGATTCGATACGTCAAGAGTTTTGGCTACACCCCGCACGGCACGATGCAGAGGGGGCTCCGGAGGCGGAGACGGGACCAAGGGCCCCACATCGCTCTCACCAAAGGCTCCCCCAGAGCTACTTCATCCTGTTCCTGTGCAGCCAGAGAGAGTTGCTGTGTGGTTCCCCCCCCGCCAGCCCAGGGACATCCCCAAAGGCGAAGCTGAAGATAACTACAAAACCCCAAAGGCCGCTGCTCCCCAGGCGCGGTGGGGCTGGGCCTGGCCGGCAACCAAGCACCCGCCCAGCCATTTGCCACTGCCCCGCAGCGGGACGGGGAGGGAGGTGGAAGAGCAAAAGCGAGAAAACTTGGGTCAAGATACAGAGTTTTATAAATGAAGAGGCAGAGGGGAGAGAAAATACCAAGTGCTGGAAAGGGAAGCGCTTGCCACTGGCTACTCTGGCCGTGGTGGTCTCACCTTGCCCATGTCCAAGGCGGTGGCCTCCAGGATGTCCTGCTTCTTGTCCTCCAGGAAGCGTCCCAGGGCCTCCAGCTGGCCCACGCGGTACTCCAGGGGCCGGGTCCTCCCTGAGAGCCAGGTTGCCCGCAGGCGGCTCACCAGCCCTGCGTGGGGACTCATCCTGAGAGGAGGGGGGCTCTGAGCCCCGGCCTGCTGATGAGGAGATACTGCTTGCCGTGGGTCAGAGGGCGTCCAGGCTGCTCCCCAGGGACTCTGCACCGTGCTAGGTGGGACACGTCCAAGAGGGGTTTGTCCTTGAGAAGCCGTGGGCTGGCTTTGACTTGGTGTCTCCAAGCACAGGGTGGGGGTAGTGGGGCTGGAGGAGAGGAGGAGCAGCTGGGATGGAGGAACGGAGCCCACAAACCCACCTGGGTGGTGCCAAAGCAACCAGGAGCGAGCGGAGAGGGGCTCTGGAGGACAGCACCCCCCTAAAAATGCTGCAGGAGAAGGCCTCCCGTCCCTGCTGGCGCCTTACCTGTCCCTGTCCTCCCAGCTCAGCTGCCTGCGCTCGCTCCAAGGTCTCTGATAGCTGAGGGGATTGCCCGCCCGTGTGAGATAAGGGAGGGCGGATTGCAGGGCGTGGGGCGGAGGAAACTGGGATCATCCCCAGCTCGAGGGCTTTGGGAAGGAAAACAGTGTGGACCTTCTCGGGGGAGAGTCCCCAAGCTGGGGGGCACAGGCAGCAGGAGG